AGGGGCTGAGGGCTGTTTTCAGGCTGGGGGTGACTGAAGCTCCCAACCGCTCCTTTTTTTCTTTTTATTCTGGGCCAGCTTTAGCTTTGAGGCTTGGCTCCAGCTCTTAAGCCTCCGGGGCTGAAAGTAGGTTTCTGGCCTTTGCTTACAATGTTGCAATCCTGCTGGCTGAGGTCCGGTGGTATTTGTTACAGTTTCTTAAACTACAGGCTCAGAGGCCTGCAGCCCCAGGCGGGGAACGTTTCCTCCAACACTGAGGCAAGCAAGCCTCATGTTAGTTTCAAGCTGCCTGGCTGCCGGCCACCATCTTGGCTGACAGTTAATTTGCATATCTCGCTGATTAGCCAATGAAAAGCGTAGCGGTCGTACGCCAATTACCATGTTTCTCTTTTATTAGTGTAGAGATACCCAAGCCTCATTCGATATTTCTGGTTAAGTGCTCCCAGTTTGCAGGCTGTCATTTTGGTGTGTGTACTATTAACTTTTACTAATTATTATTTCAGTAATTCACTGATTTTACTTGTTACTTATGAATTTTTGACAGAGATGATAGCTAATAATACTGCATCATACACTTGAATGTTGCCAAGAAAGTAAATCTTAAATATTCCCACTAGGAAAAAAGAAATGGCAAATATGGTATGGATGTGTTATTTAATGCCATGGTGGTAATAATTCTGCAACACATACATGTATCAAATCAACATGTTGCACACCTTAAACTTACACAATACTAGAGGCCTGGTGCATGAAAATTCATACACTGGAGGAGGGGTCCCTCAGCTGGCCCTGCCCCCTCTCACAGTTCAAGAGCCCTCAGGGGTGGGAGGTGACCTGGTGATCAGGGGAAGGTGATGCCCCATCACACCTCTGCTGCTGCCACTGCCGGCAGTGCAAGCCTCAGCCGGTCCTGGTTACCTGAGACTCGGGAGGCTGAGCAGCCACCATCCAAGGCTTGTCTGTGCCTCGGGCTGCCCTGGGTGGCTGGGGGGCTCTGGAGGCAGGTGCGCAGAGTGGCCGGGCAGGCTTTGCCACGCGCCTGCGGCCCTGGCAGGGCTGAGGGGACTGGGCACTGCCATCTTGTAGCTGTGGGCACCATCTTTGAGGGCGGGGCAGTCAATTAGCATATTCCCACCTTATTGGCTGTGGGTGCTGCCATCTTTGAGGGCAGGGCAGCAATTAGCATATTCTCTCCTTACTGGCTGTGGGCGATGCCATCTTTGCGATGGCATGAGGGTCAATTAGCATATTCCCTCTTTATTAGATAAGATGTAATTGTATGTCAATTACATCTCAAAAAAGTTGGGGCAATAACACAATTAGAATAGTTTTTCAATGAGCATTTCAATAATTTCTGTGAAGTATCACTTGGTCCTGATTGAGACCACAACTGTACTAAACATCTGGATAAAAAATGTCAGCTTTGATGTCCTTTTGATGCTGTGAGCAGTTGTCCTTGAATCATCCAAACCCCCTCTGGGTCCCATCTCAATCACGCCAGTGAGTAATCAATGGGCAATGCAGGACTTGAAAAAACAAGGTTGGGGTGCCAGTCTTGACTTTGGTGCTTCCTGGTGTGTGTCTCACCCAGCCGGTTTCCTCAATTATGAAATATGAATATGCTAATATCTACCCAGCTTCCTAAGACGTTTATGAAGAATAAAACAAATTTTGAGCCACAACAATTAAAAAAAAAAATTGGCCTTCATACTGTGCAGCCCTGGGTTAACATAGCAGGCCCAGGGCTGTCTTTACAAAGGCCTGCTTGCCAGGTTAGTCCTGCCTCTCATCTGAGAACCTGGCACTTGGACAGTTCTCTAACTGACAGGGTTAGGCTACTGGTGCAAACACCTGAGTTATGCTGAAGACCTGCTTTCCTTCAGGGAGTCTGGTTTGGTTTTTTTATTCATTTTTTGTGGTTATCCTCACCTGAAGATATTTTTATATTGATTTTTTTTTTAAGAGAGTGGAAAGGAGGGGAGGAAAGAGGGCAGAGGGAAGAAAGGGAGAAAGAGAGAGAAACATCAATGTGAGAGAGACACATTGATTGGTTGCCTCCCACATGTGCCCCAACTGGGACTAGGGATCGAACCTGAACCCAGGTACATGCCCTTGATTGGGAATCAAAACCGTGACTCTTGGTGTGCAGGCTGACACTCCAACCACTGAGCACACCAGCCAGGGCAGGGAGTCTGGTTTTTGATAGTTGCAAGGAGGGTGCCTACATGATCAGCTTTCAATAAAAACCTTGGGCCTGGCCTGCCTGGCTTAGTGGTTAAGTATCGACCTATGAACCAGGAGGTCACAGTTTGATTCCTGGTCAGGGCACAGGTTTGGGTTCCAGGCTTAATTGCCAGTGTGGGCATGCAGGAGACAGCCAATCAGTGATTCTCTCTCATCATTGATATTTCTATCTCTCCCTCTCCCTTCTTCTCTGAAATTAATAAAAATATATTTACAAATAAATAAATAAATAAACTAAAAATAAAAACCTTGGACACTGAGTCTCTACTGGCTTCCCTGGGCAGAAAAACTACATGTTCCTCCTCTTTTCCCATTCTTGGTGTGCTCCCCCAGCAAGGAGAGCATCGAAAGATCGTGTATTTCTCCAACTCCAGACTCTGCCTGTATCTTTCCCCCTTGCTGATCTGGTTGTGCATCCTTTCATTGTAATAAACCTCACCTCTGAGTACTATCAATTGCTGAATGAATTAGTGGTCTTAAGGACCCCACCCCCACAACACACATAAAATACCGACTCAAGCCTAACCGGTTTGGCTCAGTGGATAGAGTGTCGGCCTTCGGACTGCAAGGTCCCAGGTTCAATTCCGGTCAAGGGCATGTACCTTGGTTGCGGGCACATCCCTAGTAGGAGGTGTGCAGGAGGCAGCTGATCGATGTTTCTCTCTCATCGATGTTTCTAACTCTCTATCCCTCTCCCTTCCTCTCTGCAAAAAATCAATAAAACATATTTTTTAAAAAAATACCGACTCAAGTAATTTATATGCTACAATGACATCAGATTAAAAGGGGTTTTGTAAGCAAAGCAGGTAGAAATGCTTAATTCAATTCAACAAGTGACTAAGAGACTAAGGCAGTGGTTCTCAACCTTGGATGCACATTAGAATCAGCTGGGAATCTTTTTAAAAACCCGATTTCTGGGCCTCATCCGCCGGAAATTCTGTGTCTTTGTTACTAATGTGGTGGCCCCCCCCCATAACAAAGAAACAGGATTTCCGGAGGATGAGGCCCAGAAACCAGGATTTTAAAAAGTTTCCCAGCTGATTCTAATGTGCAGCCAAGGTTGAGAACCACTGGACTAAGGACAGAGGGGAGAGGGGGAGAGAGTTAGAGGGGAAGAGGGAGAAATCAATGATGAGAATCACTGATTGGCTGCCCCTTGCCTATTTATCTGAGATAAAAAGACACTAACCCTGTTTTCTCAAGGAACTCATTGTCTAAAATGGGAAACAGGTGCAAAACTACTCAGTAGCCAAGAGATTTAGAAACATAAATGTAAATGTTAAAATTCAGAGGACGAGAATTTTGGTGATTCAATGAAAGTATTATTAACAAATGTACATTCTAGTATTCTAAATAATTTTTTTCTTAAAAGCAGGTCATTGGTAATAGAAGAAAAGGGACCATCTCCCACCCAACCAGTGATTTTTCCTGCAAAGCTCCAGGGAGAACATCTATGATTGAATAATCTAACACCCAAGAGACTTGAAAACAAGGTTGTGAAATCATGCTGTCTCAGTTAGCAAAATAAAGATAGCATAAGAATCATATAAATGACATATTTCACCCCAAAGTTGTTATTGAGTGCCAAAAACCTGATTTCCATTTACTAACCATGCTAGAACATTTCAGAGTCTGTTTCCCTGGAAATTTCAGGGAAATACTTATACAATGTCTTGTTTTGTGGTAGAGAACATGCACCTAAGCATTTTTGTTTCTCGGTCTGGTTGGCTCTTTATTCAACCTAGGAATAAACTATTCCAGGAAACTTGAGGTAGAAAACTATGTCTGAACTTTCAAATATTTGTCTTGCAACAATTAAGAAAAAATTCACTACATCTACCTACAAGGATATGAAAACTGCCCTGCAACAGCATGGCTGACAGCCTTTGCTGCCCAATGTTACCTTGTGCCAAGAACTATCCTAAACGCATCAGTCACAAATGTGTATTTCCAAACAGTTTTTTGACTGCTTTCTTAAAATACTGCACTGCAAAAACCTCTTCTTCTTCTTTTCACCATTTTAACTTTTTTGAAGATACACAATATAAACAATTCTCAAATGATGGGTATCAGGTCTGAAATCCTCCTGGTATTAGATGAAACACAGAAAAGAAAATCTCTGCATGTACTAGACTATACAGGAGGCAAGTGTAATACTGGGGATGTCCCTGGTCTTGGTATATAAACAGTAGTAAGTAGAAAATCACAAGTGTTTTCTAAACATGAAGCTTAACTAAATTATGTACAAAGCATTTATGATTGTGAAAAGCCACCTCAAAGGTAGTATTCAAGATTTATTTAATAACAACTGAAAACTAGAACATACCAGAATGCAGTAACCAAGCAAGATGCTTTGGGCCTGGGCTCCGGTCATAAGGTATTGATTGTACCAGCATTCCAGCTCCAATCATGGCTGCAAAGGTTGCACCAATTGTCTGAAAGACACATATTACTAAGAAAAATCCTTATACAATAACAAAGTAGAAACCCACAAGTTCTAATTTTCAGTTAGTGTTTCCAAGAAACCATGTTTTCCCAACATATTAAAGGCCTTTATTTCCGTTTGGCCACGTGACAAGAGGGCCAGTGCCCTTAGACTTGCAGACGGCTTTCAGTGAATGAGTTAAGCTTTGACTAATAACGTCATCTTTAAAAAAACTTTATTATTTTTAGACAAAGGTTTCACAAAATCTCTTTAAAAGCCCCAGAATTATTTTAAATTATATTTTAGTATAGCACTAATAGCATTTAAAAATATTAGTCATGATATGCCAATTAAAATATATACAGCACACTTGCTAAAAGAAACCTGAAAAAATAAAAGCACATGGAAAAGATGAGAAATAAGACTGCTTCTCTCCTTCAAACTTTCTGGCTGACTTGGTCCTTCCTTTTTTTTGCCTTAGATTTCCGTTGTTATGACTTGTAAAGATCAAGAAAGAAATATAGGTAATGGAAGAAAGATGATAATATCCAGGAAATTTAAAGGAAAAATTGTAACCTTGTAGCGTTTGGATAGAATCAGGTAGCAGGTATTTGGCCAATTACTAAAAAAACATCATAACTGAACGCGAATGCTTCTGGTTGGGAAGGCTTTTCTCCAGATGCTAAGAATCCGTGCGATGCTCCAGACCTGCCTCATCGTCTGCACTGTCTGTCTGACACGCAGGCACCTGCTGCTTTCATTCACATTAAACAGAAAAGCATGCTGAGTTCTAGTCTACCATTTTCCAATGCACAATTACTAAAAACTACTTCATACATCTCTGTGCAAAGCTTTTTCAGGTTATTTATCACAATTTACACATTTTTTCTTTTAAGGTCCTTCATGATCCAGTTCCACTTTTTGCCTTTCAGCTTTCCAGTCTCCACTCCAGCTGCAGGGAACTAGTAGGGCTATAGACATGCCTCCGGCTCATGCCTCTGCAATTCTGTTCATTGTGCCCAAGAACTCTTTCCTGTCTGACTTACTCAAGGACTTCCCTTTGTCTGGGAAGGTTTATGGTGGGTCCCCTTGCTGCCAAGAGCTGTCAGATGACTCTCCTCTGTTCCAAAGACACTTAGTACAGTGATCAGTGTCTACAGACATGGCACCCCCCCCCCCCCCCCAAGACTACATCTTCACCACTGTAGCATCTGTCTGGCTTTCTAAACTTTTACTTAAGTACGAGAGCAAAAGCACATGAGAGTGATCTAATGCCCACAGGGAGTTGAGACTATGGCCCATGCACAAACCTTCTTTAACGTCTTATTTTAGGGGCTAAACTCCTTTGCATATCTTGATCTCCCTCATATAGCCATGCTTGCTTAATTACAAAAGGCACTATTGTAAATTACGTACTACTGATTAAACTAACATTCCTGGTGAGAATGCACATGCTTATTTTCTGTCTTCTAGAACCTGTAGGCTAGGCCAGTGGTCGGCAAACTCATTAGTCAACAGAGCCAAATATCAACAGTACAACGATTGAAATTTCTTTTGAGAGCCAAATTTTTTAAACTTTAACTACATAGGTAGGTACACTGTTATTAACTTAAATAGGGTACTCCTAAGGCTTAGGAAGAGCCACACTCAAGGGGCCAAAGAGCTGCATGTGGCTCGCAAGCTGCAGTTTGCCGACCACGGGGCTAGGCAATTCATGACACCCATCTGAGAAGCAATGGCCTAAGAATACTGACTGTCCACATGGCTATACTACTGTAAGTGTTTCTCCTTTTGGAATGTATAATGTGGAAATACTACAGATTTGGAGGTTAGATGGATTTGGGCTACCTGGGGAGAACTGGTTTGCCATGGGACATCTCTAAGTATTACATAGACTTTCCCATCTTCCCTTCCCGTCCAGCCTCACACTCATTGTTCTAGTTCACACTCTTATCATCAGATCTTGCAAAGGCGGAGCTAGTACACCGGCTCTTCCACATTAGTTCTCCATGCTCATCAGCCTTTTGCTGTTCCAGTTATCTGCAATGGCCTCCCACTGCTTAGGCACTCCTCTCAGCTTGCCAATCACACAGCCCCTTTCTGTCTTCTTCACACACCAACCCTCAAATATGCTAATGAACTGTTAAGTCATTTTTAATGACTGCTTTCTTTGCTCAAGCTGTTTTGCAAACTTGGACTACCCTTGTACTCTCCTAAAATAAGAAATGCCAGGCTTCAATGGTCCTGATGAGATAAAATTGTCCTTCATGGAACTTCCCTAGTAGTCCAAGACAAAAATAATCTTTCCATTGACTTTAAACTTTCTACTTCTTATTGTATATTCTTTACCACTTACTCTAGTTTATTTCTTCAACCAGAGAGTAGAAAAATAGTTACCACACTTGAAACCAGTTTTTGGTATCTAGTAAAATAACAAATGCACAAGAAACACTCACTCAATATTCCTTATACAGGGTCAAGAAAACTCACAATAGTTGTGGCACTTTCTACTTTTAATAATATAGAATGTTAGGGTTTTTGTGATATGCATTTCCCACTGACCTCTAAGATGGTTTGGAATCCCCCTTAATTTTAGTAAATTGCTGTAAGATATGCAAAATACAGGCAGTTTGGTATCTGCTGCTAGATAGGACATTCCTGTAAGTTTGGTTTCCAACCCCTTTGCCACTATAAAATACATATTTAACAAAGAATAGCTGAAGTACTTCACTGTGTACTTCTTACTCTATCTCAGCTGTACTACTAATTTCATATATTATTTGAACAAAAACCTGTTCAATTTAGTAAGGTATTCTTTCCCTTTAACACCCGTCCCAATATTTTTTGTCTAATCTTTTGATACGGAGTAGAAAAGGTAAACAAAAACAAGCTGACTTACCACCCAAGAGCCTCTCATCATGAAGTTCATGAGAACAGGAGTTCTGCTCACTGCCATGGCTGACAAGGCTGTTAAACCAATGCTTCCTGCTAAGTACATGTAGGTAGAATGAATTCTATCCTTCACATACTGAGGCCAAATTCTGTAAAAAAAAAAAAAAAAAAAAAAAAAAGTTAATTTATAAGATTCTGAATGTGAATTTTGGTTGAATAAGATTAGCTGGGAGGTCTTGGGAAATATGTTACTGCTCTAAATCTTATTCACCTCATTTGGAACGAAAATGATGCATACATTGAAGTTACCATAAAACGTAAATGATAAAAGACATATAAGGGGGGGCGGAGAATGGGTGGAGGTGGAAGAGGGCACAGAGGGGATAAATGGTGATGGAAAAGTTTGAAAAAATTAAAATAAAATAAAACACACAAAAAAGAATGAGATATGCATTCTACAAAATGCTGAACTTCAAAAACATTGTGCTAAGTGAAAGATTCCAGGCCCAAAGGACCACACACAGCGTGATTTTATTCTGACTACATGTCCAAAAAGGGTAAATCTACAAAGGCAAAAAGAAGATTAATGGTTTCCTGGGACTGGGATGAAGGGTTTCAATTAAGCATAAGGGATCTTTTTGAGGTGATGGGAATGTTCTAAAACAGCTGTGGTGATAGTTGAATCTCTATACATTCAAGAATCACTGAATTGTATGCTCATAATGGGTGAACTTATATAAATTATACCTTAATAAATCTTCTTTAAAAAATAAGCACGACCATAATAAAAGACATAGCATTTGGCTTATATACAAAGTGACACATTTTCTCCTTACCTGAATACATATAACCTTGGAAAAAGAAGTTTACTTAGGTTTGAATAAATATAGGTCATGGAAACAAGAGATTCTATCTGTATTCATTTTTCTCCTACACAAGAAGACTAGACATAAAACATTCCCAAAGTGGCCAAAGGTAAGTAAGAGAAGAAAATTGGAGGCTTTAAGGCTAGAACTGTTTGGGAACAATTTACTTACACAGCCTTTTCAATTGCTCCAATCTCATTAGACATTCCCAAGCCATAGTAGCACAATGCACCAAGGCCAACAGCAGCCCCTCCAGCAATAAACCATCTTCCCATCTGATCAACTGCAGAACACAGGAGGAAATGCAGGTTAACACTGTCGTGTTTTAACTAAATTAAAATGCTGGCAGTAAGCCCTTCCCCATACTTACAGTAAATGAGGGAAATCAAACTATACACCACACTTCTTTGTAATAGCTATAATCCTATATAATAAAAGGGTAATATGCAAATTGACCCTAAGAGCAGAAGGGCTGGGAATGACTGGTCACTATGACACACACTGATCACCAGGGGGCAGACGCTCAATGCAGGAGCTGCCCCCTGGTGGTCAGTGTGCTCCCACAGGGGGAGCTCTGCTCAGCCACAAGCCAGGCTGATGGCTGCCAGTACAGCTGTGGTGGTGGGAGCCTCTCCCGCCTCCTCAGCAGCACTAAGGATGTCCAACTGCAGCTAGGCCTGCTCCCCATTGGCAACTGGACATCCCTTGAGGACTCTGGGGCTGCCAGAGGGATGTCTGACTGCCAGCTTAGGCCCAATCCCCCTGGGGAGTGGGCCTAAGCCAGCAGGTGGTCATTCCCTGAGGGGTCACAGACTGCAAGAGGGCACAGGCTGGGCTGAGGGACCCTCCCGAGTGCACAAATTTTTGTGCACCGGGCCTCCAGTTAGTATATATAGAAATGGCCTTAGAATTAGGGGACTAGTAAGAACACTGCTGAAACAAAGGTGTAATAATTAGTACAAAAAGGATCAGACTTGGTTAACCTTTCATCTCCAACAAAATTAGAGGCAGTGTATCTGTAGATGTGGGGAGACTTCTGTGATACGTTATTTTACTCATAAGAATTTGGGGTGTGTTCTCATGACATTTAGAAAGCAAAGATGAGAAAGAGCCCTGGCTGGGTAGCTCAGTTGGTTAGAGTGTCATCCTGATACTCCAAGGTTTCGGGTTCCACCCTTGTTCAGGGCACATACAAGAATCAATCAATGAATGTATATAAAGTAGAATAGATGTTTTTTCCTCTCTCTCTCCCCCTTCCTCTCTCTCTAAAATCCATCAAGCAATAAAATAATTTTAAACATGAGAAAGAAATGTTGCGTTAGATCGCATTGTGTCTACAGTGACCTTAGCAAAAATGGTGCTTTATATGGAGTCAAGAAAAAAAGAATCAAAGAAAAACGTAACCCATGTTTATGCCGCTGAATTAAGGGAGAGGCTGCTTTTGCTTTTAATACTGAGAAAGAAACAACTTATTAACTCTAACTGGTTAAAGGTATTCATAAAGACCAGATTACTCCCTTTAGTCTCAATTTGTTCACAAACGTTACTATTCCATGGCTATAGGATTCATATAATTTGGTTTTTAGGGCCAATTTACTGACCAGAAATGCCCCAAGGGATACCAATGAGGGCTGTCTCCCACATAATAGATGGACATTTTGCAAGGTTAAGGAGCCTGGGCTGGCTTTGGGTAGATTAACAATCTAGTTTCTCAACTTGCAAAGCTGAATTGCAAACTGCAAACCGAAGGTCCTGCTTCCGAGAGGCCTCTAGGGCAGCCAGTTAATAGGACCCTTCCTCAACACTAGGCTTTTATGAAGATCTGGTCAGGCACCTACTTTTAAATATTTTTTCCATTGACGGTTCCAATGCTGCTTCCTTGAGTTCTTGTCCGGTTTTCCCACGCCGGATACCAATTCTTGTTTTGGTGGCATATTCCTGATACACATGAAAACAAGACATACACCACCCACAACAAAACACAAAGTAAACGATAAGACAGGATCTTGTTACACTAGAAACCTCCATATAAAGTTGGTGCTTTATATGCATGTACTTTCACTATTAAAGTACGGTAGCCAATTTAAATGTTAAATGGAGACCCTATTGTATTTGTGCTCTATCTTCAAAGTGACTTGCTAATCCTTTATAACTGAACTTCTTAGTTTAAGTTTCAGAATTTATATTCCATAAACTACAGACTTTATTAGCTACATTTTTTTTAATCTGGAAAATGGGCTCAGGAAAATTTCTTTCCTTAACATAAAGCCAAAAGGAGGAACAACTACTACCTCCATTATAGCTCCTTTTCAACAGTGAAACGGTCCACTGAAAAGGTAAATCTCTTCTAGGTTCTGTATGTCCTTATCTACCTCACGTCTCAAAATGTATACTTCTCTGAATGCCAGGAGGAATCTATCACCTAAGGAAATCGCTTTCTCTCTTACCGGACAGCTATTTCCTAAACAAAAGCTGGAATGACAGTTCGGCCCGTGCCTGGCAGCGGTGCTCGTCCCTCACGCTAGGCTCCCCCATCGCTCCCATCCCCCCTGGTGATTTCCATGAGAAACCGAGAGCTGCAAAAACGGAGGCGTCCCGGTTCCTTTCTCTTTCACACGAGATGAATTTGGAACAGAAAGACACAGCACTAACGGGAGGAAGCGCGAATCCGGGGCTTCCTCAGGCAACTGCTCCGGGAAATGCCTGGCGGCGGGGCGGGGCGGTGCTTACCCGGCCGGGGACGGAGGGCCACGG